GGGAGCCCGATGCGGGACTCGATCCCGGGACTCCAGGATCATGACCTGAGCCGAAGGCAGTCGCCTAACCAACTGAGCCACCCAGGCGCCCCTGGAGCAAGGGTTTTTATGTTTCAGAGGAAGCAGGAGGGGCTCACCGGCACACCGTCCCTTCTCTGGAGAGTTTCACAAATGCCATTGGCCTTTACTATGGCTAAGAGCCTCAATGTCTTTCCAGTATAAATATTAACCCCTATACATCCTAATGAATGATAAAAACACACCAAAAAGAATAAAATACTCAAATAAAATGAAAGCCTAGAATAAACCATATGTATTGTAGTGGTGTTAATAAAACAATAACATTATCTCCTTGTTCGAGACCTATATAAAACCTCTAATTAGCTCCTAAAAAATATACACACGGTGTATGTTTGGCATATTCTAGGTTAGCAAATGCATACATTATAATAGTGAATGTTAGTTTCAAAAGAAAAAAAATCTCATGCCCATTTTGTATGGCAGTCCGTTCATGCTTCAGCCTCCAAAGGCACATGAGAGAAGCTCCTTTTTAGAATATAGCAAGTGATCCACTGTGGATTATAAAAACCTGGTCCTGGGAATATCATCTGCTTTGTCTATGATGAATTGTAGCAGAAATTACAGATGTTCAGTACTGAGTTTTACCTCCAGACACTATTCATATAAAACTCTTCCAAGCAAGTAAAACGGAGTATGTTTTTCTTAGATAATTCTACTTCATCATTTTCTTTTACCTATATCTCAGCCTGAGGAAAAAAGGAGCAAACTGCAGAATATAAATAATAAAATGACCTTTCTCCTATCAATTTCCTCCATGACAAAACCAGGGCTTACTTCTGGGGCACAGAGGGCTGAATGTTCCTGCAAGGAGTACAGTTGGTTTACCTAATAACTAAAAGGGTTTGATATTATCTGGTGAAATGAGCGGCTGGTGTAAGGCGTCTAAAAGATCAACATATCTGTGTGACTTGAGAATTGCCTTGGCGTTTCCAGGCTTCTTAAAAGTTCTGGTGAGCTATTCCTCAATGGCCAATGCATGAAGGAAGACCTTGTCAAATGGCCTGTTTCTCTGCCAGGTCCCAAGCTGTTTACAACTTTCTGTGATGGAGCTGAAGCTGACTTCATTGATATCTACAGCTAGATAATGGGAATCAGATGTCCCTTTTGAACCAGAATAGGAAGAGAGTGGTTATTAAAAACAGAGCTCTCTCTCCTCTAACCCACCACTACCCAAGAGGCTCCCCATCTTTTAAACTTAAGGGTCTGGACCAAACCAAAGAATCTCACACTTGATGACGGTATTTTTGTTTAAGTCATGAAAATGCATCAGTTGGTTATAGCCTCAGGCTAACAAAAGAGAACACTATTTGAGTTATAAAGTATACTTTTGGAAAAAGGACCCCAAAATTATGAAAAAGCAACTTCTTGCCAAATAGAGGTCCTAATCCTGAGCAACACTCATTTGCAGTGGGGACCATCTTCGGCTGTCCCACTGGATTCATGAGACTGTAACTTCACTGCATGTGAAAACTCCGTCACTGGAGCTGAATGAGCTTTAGGACAGAATGAAGATCATAATGACAAATACACGTCGGGAGTGTAACCCATATCGTGGACCAGCACAACGCACCCAAGGCCTGGAATCAGCAATTAAGTCTTGCTGCTGATGCCTGGGGAGCGCCGTGGGCTGACCTCATCCTACAGATGAAGAACCTTAGGGGGTTGACGTCTATAAATGTATATACCTCTAACTCTCTTCCAAACCATTTAAAGAAAGAAGGTAAAGTTTTAATAAAAGTACACTCAGCAACTGTCGTCAGCCTTGGCGCTGTCCTAGCAGGCACAGACAAAAGGTGTACACACAGAGCCCAGACTAAAGTGTTATGTTGTAATCTTGAATTGTGAGCAGGGCTAAAAAAATGGGTTTCCTCTGGGCCGAGACAGGGCTGTGGAAAGTTATCAACGGATTTTCAGGGCCCTGAAAAAGATCAAGTATGCTCCAGGAGCACCATCTCCTGCTTCATTGCTCCTCTTCATTGCTGGCTGAGCCCTCTCCTGGCTTCTGGACAGTCCTACAGGTCATGCTGCTTGCTCTCTTTCTCAAACACATCAGACTTAGCCAGTATGCAGTGCTCCCCTCCTGTCTTCCTAAGTTTCCCTGTGGTGTAGTGGAAAGAGCACGAGTTACGAACTCAGCGACCTGGCTTCCAATCTTCACTCCTCCGCTTACCGGTGGGCTAACTCTGGGGAAATTACTTAACTCTGATGGGTCTCAGTCTCTCCACCTGTAAAATGGGAGCAAGGACAGCTACCTCACAGGGATTCTTAGGGAGAGCACGTGACAGGATATTTAAATTCCCTGGCCTCTGCAAAGTAGGTGCCTGGTCCCTCTCATTTCCTTTCTCACTTCCCTATTGCTTTCTTGAGCCGAACTACTCCCTCCCCAAGCACTGGGTTCCCCTGGCTCTGTGCTGCTCCTCGCCAGCCCCACCCCTTTCTTGTCATCTACACGTGTGCTCATCTCAACCAACCTCCACAATTCAACTCAAAGTCCACTTTCCCCAGGAAGTGCCCCTTGAGATCCTTTCTCTCACCTGATGTTCCCAGATCTATGATATGTTTCTACACCATTTTATAAATTATTTATCTATTATTTATCTGTCTTCCCTGCTAGTCTAGGTCTAGAGCATCCAGCCTAGCACTCACTATACCTGGGTGCCTGGCAATATTTGTTTAACGAACAAATGTGTAAATACAGGACCAAAAGGGGAGCTTCTAATGTGCTCACTTGAATGATGGTAACGCTTTAGCCAGTACTCTAAATGAAAACAATACTCAGAAAACAGCCAGAATCAGAACGTGAGATGCACTCTGTGGGGTGAGAAAAAGCATCTGCCTCTGCAGAAGCCAGAGAAGTTATGTGGGAAAAGCAGCACGGAGAGGACAAGCGACAGAAGCCTGGGGCCAGGACAGCGGCTGGAAGCCTCAGTCTAGACACAGCGCCAACCTGCAGAGACGGAGACAGTCCTGTGCGTCGAACCAGACTTTTGGGATAAAAGAAATCGGATGAAGAACGATGCGTGTTTGACAGCTGCCATAAAACATGAAAAAAGGGAAGAATGAACAAAGAAATATCTTCAGTTTAGAAACACTATACAAAAAAAAAAACAAAACCTTTGGGAAAATGAATCTGAGAGTAACTGTCAAGGGGCATCGCTTTAAAGTTGTGTGTGTGTGTGTGTGTGTGTGTGTATGTGTTTGAGGGCCCATGTGTAAAAGCATATTTACTGGTCTTCAAGTTACAGTTTATTTACCTACATTCTAACACCCCATGATTCCCTTCCATTTATTTCAGCTTAGACATTTTTATATATGAAGAGTAAGAAGCCAGTGAAGCCACTGAGAGATGTCCTTAAGAATCTATCATTATAAATGGCCTGTGAGTTCTTAAATACCAAGAATGTGGATTACTCAGTGGGGTTGCACAAAGAGTCTTAAAACATTTTCATTTTGCTATGGTAACTGCACTGATGTGATACCCTGTGAAAGGCTTGGAAATCTTGGCTCAATGTCTATGATCTGTAGACACACCCTTAAGAGAGAACAACATTTATTCCCTTATTCAAAAACCGATTCCCCTTTAAACCCCACCAACGTCAGCATATATCCCACTCAGGGCACACTGGAACCTCTTCCCCTCTGGTGTGCATCCTACACACTACTGGGCTTCCCAAAGGTGAGCAAGCTGAGGGTTGGCCTGACCTCCCAAGTGGTTGAATGTTGGCTTTAGGAGAAAAGTTTTGGAATTTTCTGGAAAACTTTACTAAAGGAAGAAAAACTAACAGCTCTTCTTGGCCAGAAAGAGTAGAAGTATTTCACTAGTTGTTTTCACAAGTTTATCCAGAGAGTTCTATCAAGATGCAATCAAGAGAGGTTTTTTTCCTTTCTTTTTTAAATATCATTTTAGACACACTATCTGCAAACTCAAGCAATCCTTACAGAGAAAAGGCACACATTCCACGCAGTCTGGTCTCATTAGCATTCTTCTCCTCATCTCCCAAAAGACTTCATCAGGGATGAAGTGAAAATGATTATTCAAAAAACTGAGCGCAACACTGTAGAGACAGTATAAACCACTAGCTACTTGGGTGGTTTCTGGGCAGCATCCCCAAGCTATGCTATGAATTTTACATTCTTATGATAAAAGTGACAACTACTATCTTTAATGTTCTAGGATTTTATAAAGATAACCCATTTCCAAAGCATCCACAGTTCCTCAAAAATCTCAGACTCTGGTGCCCAACATGGGTGACTGTTCCAGTGTGCACCTGCCTGGCGGATGGACTTGAGGGTTATACACACATTCTCAAGCTGAAGCTGTTATTCTGAAATGGAGACCAAAACCATCCTGATATTGGTGGACAAATTCCTTTTCAGTTTGTTTTATTTTTACTCCATTATTCTGAGAAATAGGGTTTTCTTTTCTTTCCCATAAGAGTATGATGCCAATGGGGTTACAATGCATAGCTGCTTACACCTACTAATGGCAGATCTGATATCACACTCTAGGGTTTGGCTTCCAAAATAAATTCAGGCCATTCTTTTCCCTGAGATGCCAAGTGGAACACAGTCAAACTACAGTTTTTCCAAGGATACCACTAAGTCAGCTAACCCGAGAGACTGGGATCGTGTGGACTGGGATCCGGTGTGATTATTGCTCAGAAAATATTTCACAGTCCAAGGGAAAAACTAGGGGCATCTGAATAGGATACAGATTATGATACTGACTTATAAGCGTGTACGGCTCTTTGCTTCTGAAACACATAAAATAGTGTCATCTGGAGGTGTTGTCAGGGCTGAATAAGACCAGGAGAAGGTTTTAGAAGTGAGAGGTGAAGAGGGTCTATCCTTTTACCCAAATGCTTAATGTTCAAGGACAGTTACTAAAACATTTTGATGTTACCTAAGAGTTAAGTTACCAGGATGCTTATTCACATTGACACTTCTGGGCTCATCATTGTTTTCCCTAAAGGTTTTATCTGACAAACCATCAGCTTCTGGAGACAGAGGCTACTCAGTGAATTTGGACTTAAGAGGTGAGTAAAATGTACCATGGATGCAGAGTTTGGGTCGGGGTGGTACATTATGGACTAAGTACAAAAACGTCTGGTGAGGTCACCAGATGTTGGACCTAGAACTTGTATCATTTTTTCCCATCTGTGTGGTTTGACTGTTCCCTTGAATGCTTTCCTATGAACCTGCTAGTGAAGCAAGGCTTACTTTCTCCAACACAAGCATTGGGAAGCATTAACCACAATCGGTTTAACATTCGAGGGAAGGGAACCTCCTTCCCTGGCCAAATGGGCTTTCAACTTGATCTGCTCTTAAGAAAAAAAAGAAAGTCATGAAAAAGTAATTTCCCCAAAACTCCAGCCCTGAGAATTAGTGGCGAGGGCACAGCCAGCCAGCAAATGCACCTGGCATTACAGCTCTGTTTCCTTACCCGCAGCTTTTCCTCAGTCTTGGTAGATTGCTTACAGTCGGGATGCCAAACGGTGGAACCTGGAAAGACACAATGCCCACAAAGAGTTAAAGGAAATGGAAAGAAGCCAGAACTTCTGAGAACATTTCATATCCTTCTCTCTCTATCAGGGGGGAGTGTTAGAGCCCAAGTGAATTATGACAGCTCTAATCTCCAGGTGAGTTTTCCTCATTCAGTCTGAGCTTGCTCTAGAAAGGTCACAATTCTAGACCACAGATACCACTAACGGGCGCAAGAGTGTTGTGATGCAAGAGATGTTTAGTTCTTGACTGAGTGTTGTTGCTGTTGTTTTGGACCATATTATCCTTTAAAAGTCATGTCTGTGTGCTTACTATAGGCTGTATTTAATTTAAATAGAAGGCATAAACCATGTTTACAGAACATCAAAACAACCAAGCAATTTAGATAAGGGAAATAGAGTCAAACCCAATAGTCTATATCCAGAAGCAAAACTCACTGAATTTTTTGTTGATCCAATTACACACAGTCATCTACAAAGATATGGAAAACCAAGCCAACTAGTAGAAAGGTCGAAAGTTATGTTACAAATGCAGAAGTTTTCTTTAACTGTTAGCCTTTTAATTAACAAAACAAAACAAAAAATCTCCACTCTCAAACGAGTGAAATTACTACTTAAGTGTCATTTTCTGTCCCTGAGTCAATGCCTCACCTTCTCTGAATATGAAGCCCTTCCCTGGAATGGTGCCCGCATCACAGAACTAAGCAAAACACTTAAATCCCACAGAAAGCTCTTGTAAGAATCCAGGCCCACTGATATGATTTTGTATGCCTAGATATATATGTCATTTATACAGTTGTGGGTCACACCTGTATGTAAGTCCTATGTTCACATAAGGACACGTTCAAATATGGTTATGGGCAGAAGAACCGAAGGAGCACTAGATAAGACTTTAGCAAATAAAGTTACTAAGTTGAAAGCAGCAAGTAAATGATATAAATTTAATAAGTCTCGGTATGAATATCAGACTTCCCACACATCATTGTTAAATCTTTATCTCTTCAAGCAACCATCTGTGTGTACTTAAAAAGTCACCAAATTAAAGTAACTCTTGAATTATTTTATACTACTGAGCTAAAATAGCTAAAATAATATTCACGACAAGGATAATACCTTTTATATCAGAATAATACTTTAATCCCTATTTAACAATCATTCCTATCTTGCTTAACCCAGAGCCAAAAAAAAGAAAAAAAGGGAAAATGGAACAAACAAACCAGACAGACACATACTCTTTTCAGCGTTAGCATTTACTCTGAGGCTGGCTACAAAGCACAGGAAATCCTCTTAATGTGGAGAGCCAAGGGTCAGGGGTGGGCCCAGGAGCAGCATTCGCTGCGAAGGTTCAAGTGGGAGCCCTTGGCCAGATCACGGGGTTTGCACACAGTGTCACACTGTTCTCCAGAGGTCAGACACACAAGGACTGCGACTCGGGGAGAGTACCAGATGCTGAGGAAGATGAACTACTCATTCTTCAAGGATGTGTCGAGAGGGCAGGCAAAGAGCGCCTGAAGACATTTACAACAATCCCTGGAATTCTGAGGATAGCCCTTCTTAACGGATAGTTGTTTATTTGTAGTATTACTGCGCTGTTATTTGCGCACAGCTTGAAATCACTCTCTATTCAGGTTCCAGAACCATGTGAACGTGCAGAGCTGCACCCAGAGCCTTTGAGTCTCAGTTCCTAGCAGACGCGGTGTTGACACGCGCCCTTGTGTCTGGTTTTGAGTGCTATGATCGACACACTAAAATCTAAAACAAAGCCTGGAGACCAAATAGAGAATAAATCCGCTCCATGCTGAAAATGCAAAGTGACACCTGCCTATGGCTACGGAGATTCACAGCCTGCCCTCGGAGAAATGTGTCATATAAAGTCCACATGAGACCATGGGTTTGGGGGCCTGTCATTTCCCTTTATTGGGCCCTTTAAAATTCAGTGACTTTTTTCATCAGAATTTTCCAGAGTGATCATGAAAACTAAGGGATATTTGGGTTGTCATTTTTCTCATATAGCTAGCATTTTTCAGAGAAGAGTAGATAAGGCTTTGCTTTAATATTCAAGAATCATTTCCGTAGACTTTTTTTCGTTGTATAAAAACTAAACAGAGAGCAAAGCAAACCATTCATTAAAATACACATAGTGTTAAGTGCAGAGAGACAAAGAAACGAATGCAAAGGCAGATGAGACCTGGTTATTACCAAACTGAATGAGCACCAGCTCCCGGGGTTCTCGCTAATTTTACTGATAAGCCCTTGTCGATTTAATGACTCTTTCTCCAGCTAAAAATAGTAAAATGTTTGTGCAGATGGTGTTGTTTGGAAGAGAATCCTCCCCTAAGCTTCTTGCTGAGAAATTTCAGCATTTTAGGGGAGATAAAAACTAGTCATGGTTACACACTGAGAAAATTTCTCAAAATGATTTTCAATTAGAAAAAAACCTGGGGGCACCTGAGTGGCTCAGTCGGTTAAGCATCCAGCTCTTGATTTCGGCTTAGGTCATGATCTCAGCATTGTGAGATCGAGCCCCCAGTTGGGCATGGAGCCTGCTTAAGATTCTCTCCCTCTGCCCCTCCCCCCATCACCCCCAAAAATATGATGGCCCTCTGGTAATGAATACTTCTTCGCCACCAAAAACTTCTCCATTTCTCTTTCAGGGACTCTGGGTATGTTCTCTCTCACTCTCTCGCTGCCTCTCTTTCAATATGAGAGCTACATCATCTTAATGGGATGAAATACATCTATGATGCAATTCACCAACTATGAGGTTTTCTTCTTCCTGAAATCCTACATAAGAGCAGGTTGGAGGCATTAAAAAATCCTTCTCGAAGGATAGTGAAAGGAGCAAAGACAAAGCAGCATCTAGAAATGCTTTTTCTCTTTTGTCTTGTTTCCCAGACCTCCTGGGGAAGGTTGGGAGGAAGTGTTGCTAATTTTCACTCTTGCCTCACCTCCATAGGACCAAACATCAAATCCTATTCGTTAATTCCAGAAGCAACACATTCCTTTGTTAAACACACTCAGGGGCTCACAGCTGGCATGTCAACTGCTTGGCTGATTAATACTAACTGATGAGGTAACTTCCGGCCACATTCATTTTGGATCTGGGAAGCCTTGTAGCTAATGAAATGCCTCCTTCTCTGAAAACAAACAAACAGACAAACAAAGCAAGGTTTTCTTTCCCCAGGCAGAAAGAACTTACTGAATTCTTGAGTCCATCTTACCTTGAAGATACATTTCCTCTCCTTCTGTGAACATCTGATTGCATCTGCTGCATCGTGCACAGCTGGGGTGGTAATGTTTGTCACCTGCCTGCAAGAGAAGAGGTAGGGACTATTTAGTTTATACCTTGTCACAGCTCCCAGCCTCTTTTCTGGACATGGGGATTTGGAGGCAAAGAGAAACAGCTGAGGCAGGAAAAATAATTGTCCCATTGACCTAACCTCCTATACCAACAGCCCTGGAAGCGGAAGCTGACCCCATTAGAACTGGAAGGGGCTCAAAGACCAGCTACTGATGCCTGGATGATAGGGCGGCCTCGCTTCTTGGGGTTTCTGGCGTCCATCTCTCTCTTGGCCTGGTCGCTCTTGGATGGTTGCTAGTTACACACCATGTGCCTGAGATGAGTCCCCCACTCCATCTCCAAAAAACCCCACCCCCAAAACATTAACATCCACATTGATGTGGAGACTCATACTGGTTTGTACTAAAGTAATAAAAAGAAAGGATTCTCATATTTAGCAGGCTCTTGTTTTCTTAGCTAAACTGTCTAAAAATAATAAAATCTATCTAGCTTACATCAAGACGGGAAAAGCCGTAGTAAAGGACATAATCCACAGCTTTCATCTTAGGAGGACCCCAAATTCTCTTCTATGTTGCTTATAACAGTCTTTTGCCAGTGTCTTATGTTGTTTTCTGAAGACGGCATTTTACTGAGGTGGCCCTGCATTATTCATGAGCATTTCACATTCCTAAATATGACAGATGTCACCACAGCAGGTGTTGACTTCCCCTAAGCAAAATGTCACTGGACACAGGGATAATTCTCTAGACAGGTGCCAAGTCACATTAGAGTCATGCTCCAAATGTACGCCTGACAAAATGAGATCTTTTTGTTTATAGCTTAGCAAAAAATCTTCACCACCTAAAAATTATCAAATATACTCTGCAATGAAATCATTTTATTAACCAAGTGTGAAATAGTTCTTTTGCATGAACCACGTGCAAGGCAGTGCTGAGAGCCCAGAGTTAGAAGTAGCTGCCCCCTGTGCTTGCATGAAATCTCAACAGGAAATCAGAGGTCAGGTAGTGATTCCTTTCTCACACCCTCCAGTAGAAACTACAAAAGCCACTTAGCAACCAGAGTGGGAGATGGTGGTTGGTTACTCAAGACAATCAAGTGGAAAAAAATTTACTTCAAAATAGAAGCCAGGAATGAAATCTGTTGAATGGTGCTGATCAGAAAATTCTAGAAGCGGTGCTCTTGTTTTGGTTCACACACTATTATTCAATTATTTTTTTTCCAGGGGATGAAGGAAGCATAGGGAATGTCACACAAAGTAGCTCCTTCCCTTAGGCCATCCAGAGCCAAATGTGAGTGAAAGGAGAAAGAGAAAAGTCACAGTAAGTTCTAAACCACTGTAGTTCAGCTGGGATGCTAATGCTGAGAGTTCCCAGCCAGTTAGGACAATCTCTGGATTCTCAAGGAAAATGTAAGTGAAAGAATTAAGGCACCTTGACAGGAAGTTTGTGTAGTCTACAGTGAAAAGCACACTCCTCAGTAAACTGGGAGAAGGAAGATAGATCTTCAAACTGATACAGTGTATCTGTCATATTTAGTGGTGCAATATTAGGCGCATTCTCAACAAAGATAGCACCAAGACAATGACTTACACTTTCACCAAAGTTTTTCTACATTGTTTTAGTCCTAGCCAATGTGATAAGGCAAGAAGAAATAAAAATGCAGGTCACTAATGAAAGAGTTCAGATAGCTAGATAAAAAATAAACAAACAAAACCCCATAGCTTTCTCACTGACTAGCAATACAAATTCAGTCAGTGTAATGGGAAAACAGGACTCCATTTCTAATAGCAACAAACAAACCCTTCAATGCAAGATCTACATAAAGAAAACTATAGAATTTAACCGATGGACATAAAAGGCTAACAGACATATAATATTTCTGGATGAGGAAACTAAATATTTAAAGATGTCAATTTATCTAAAATGAACCTATTAATGCAATGCATTCTCAGTCACAATACTCATAGGGGTTTCATCTACAGATCTTGACAACCTGATTCTGTAAGTTCATATGGAAGAAAAAAATGCACAAAATAGGGGCGCCTGGGTGGCTCAGTCGTTAAGCGTCTGCCTTCGGCTCAGGTCATGATCCCAGTGTCATGGGATCGAGCCCCGCATCGGGCTCCCTGCTCCGCGGGAAGCCTGCTTCTCCCTCTCCCACTCCCTCTGCTTGTGTTCCTGCTCTCACTATCTCTCTCTGTCAAATAAATAAATAAAATCTTTTTTAAAAAAATGCACAAAATAAAAGACTTTTTTTTTTTTTTTTGAAAAAAAGAGCATCAACGAAGGGGGATTTTCCATTCCTGACATAAAAAGTTATTCTAAGGGGCGCCTGGGTGCCTCAGTCCTTGAGTTTCTGCCTTCGGCTCAGATCATGATCTCAGGCTCCTGGGATCAAGCCCCGCATAAGGCTCTCTGCCCAGCGGGAAGCCAGCTTCTCCCTCTCCCATTCCCCCTGCTTGTGTTCCCTCTCTCATTGTGTCTGGCAAATAAATAAATAAAATCTTTGAAAAAGAAGTTATCCTAAGGCTCAAATAATTAAAGTTCTTCAATACTGGTCCAGGAATAGAAAATAAATCGGTGAAACAGATAACTCAGAAAAGCCAGTTGCACAGCTCTACACAAGATAATTTAGTCTACGATAAAGGTGGCATTTCCAATGAGTTGCAAAATGGATTATTCCACTAATGGTGAGAACAATGGATTCTCCACTTAGAGAGAGGTAAAACTAGATTCTTAATTCTTAACCTACAAAAAAAGAATTCTAGAGAGTTACAGAGCTAAATATAGAAACAAAAATGTAGAAATATTAGATGAATACATAGGAGATAATTTAGTATACTTGGGGGTAGGAATGTTTTCCTAAACAAGGCAAAATCTAGAAACAATAAAGACAAATAATGACTGTGCACACACATAAAAATGTCTAGACGTAAAAAAGTTAGAGTAGCAGAGAAAAAATACTTGCCATGCATGTCATACAAAAGACTATTATCCAGAATATATAAAGAGTATCTCTAATAAAAAATAAGTAGGAACACGGGCAAAAAGCAATTTCCAGAGGACATGTAGAAGACCCCCAAAATAAAGAATTAGCTCAACTCCACCAGGAATCAGGGAAACCCAATTTAGAAAAAAAAATGTTTTTCTTCACCAAACTGGCAAAGATAAAGAGAAGACTGATGTGAGGAAAAAGGCATTCTTACACACTGTTGGTGAGCAAAATTCTTTTTGGAAGGCAGCTTTGGCAATATTTATTCAAATTTAATATGCACATACTCTGATGCATGATACCACTGCTAGAAAGCTATCTTACAGAAACTCTCAAACCTGTGCTTAAGAGTGTACGTATTAAGGATCTTCAACATTATTTATAACAGCAAAGAACAACAGAAAGCAACCTAAATAACCTAAATAAGAAAGTAGTTAAATAAAATATTGAATCATATGTAGCCATTAAAGGAATGAAATAAACTTACATGGAAAGAGTTTAAACTAATGCTGCCAAGAGAAAAAATCATGCAGAAAAACAACGCCTATAATGTAGTCCCATAGTACTAGCTGACAGTGTGGAGACACTGGGGTAAGTCTGACTGGATTCAAATCCAGTTTCAGCATGATGCGGTCTTGTGAAGGTGGCAGGCTCTCTGAACATACAGCACTCCACTGCTGTAACTACCTCACAGGACGTGATTAGGGTGAGTGATCATATGATTTTTTTTTTCAAAGATTTTATTCCTTTATTCGTAAGAGACACAGAGAGAGAGAGAGGCAGAGGGAGAAGCAGGCTCCCCACTGAGCAGGGAGCCCGATGTGGGGCTCGATCCCAAGACCCTGGGATCATGGCCTGAGCCGAAGGCAGACGCTTAACCATCTGAGCCACCCAGGCGCCCCAATCATATGATATTTTGAAAATGGTGCAGCACACAACTACATATAGTAATAACAGAAACAATAACAATAATTAACAGTAATCCTCTGAACAGAGGTGGTCCCAGGGCCATTCACAAAGAGAAGGCTTGTTGGCGCAGGTTGGGATGCTGGTAAAAGGCCCCCTCGGTGCCCATTCTTTCCCAAGGACAGGCACAGGAGAGTAACTGTTACACGAACTCTCATACAAGGCGGATGGAAGATATGCCAAGGCCCCAGGTGGCAGGGCTGTGGTGTATAAACCATTAGCAAAAACACTGCTAAGAAACAATACCAGCATGACACCCGGGACATCGGTCGGGACCCATGCACTCGCTCATCTCAGAATGCTGAACATGTCAAGTAATTCAGGGAGCCAGAATCAAAGTCCATTTCGCAGCCATTCAAAAGTCTGTTTTTGTAGCAGTGCGGGCCTGGGGGACCACACGCGGTCAGGGGCTCAAGGACAAGGGAACCTCTGTCTTGCATGTGAGAGCCACCTCCTCTCTTTCGTTTCTTCTTACGCTGGTACCCATGACAGTTCACAGTCAAGCCCTATGCACAGGGCCAGGAAAAGGGATCAGAGCTGAACACAGATGTGGGTTCATATGCAAACCAACCCCCAACATGGACATAGCTGATCAAAATCATTTACACTGGAGTCATTTATAGAAGAAGGAAAAGCATTTCAGATCATGAGCAAAATGGAAGACTAGACAATAAACATACAATTCATTGTGGAGAGGAGGTTATTGATTACAAACTTTTAAAGCACAGTGTGGGCTTTGTTGTGACAGGTGACTTCATAAGTGACAGTGACTAGGTACCTGGCCCCAAGCCCACACCTTGCCACTCTAGCTGTTCCTGGGCCTGTGGGGCCAGATGCGCTGCTGGGGCTCCCCAGAGCTCCACAATCACTGTTCTCCACCCATCTTTCTACCCTGCTATGTAAAAAAATTACAACTTATTTTCTTCTTTTTCGCATATTCAAAATGCACATGTTAAAAGTCTACATTCTGGCTGGCATTACACTCTATGGAAAGTAAACAATCTGCTCATTTAGCTGAGTTTTATAAAGCACCTGCCTACACATTCAAAGT